CTTCAGTATTGCTTTGGCACTTCTGTGTTTTTTATGGTTCCACATAAATTTTAGGATTATTTGTTCAAGTACTGTGAAAAATATCCTAGGTAATTTGATATGGATCCCATTAAATCTGTAGATTGCTTTGAGTAGGATGGCTATTTTAACATTATTAATTCTTCTAACCCAAGAACATGGAATATCTTTTCATTTCTTTAAATCATCTTTAATTTCCTAATCACTGTTTTGTAGTTCTCCACATACAAGTTTTTCACCTCCTTGGTCACATTTATTCCTAGGTATTTTAATTTTTTGAATGCGATTTTCAAAGGGATTTTTTCTTTACTTTCCTTTTCTAATTCATTGTTAGTGTAAAGAAATGTGACTGATTTCTGTATGTTAATCTTGTATTCTGCTACCTTGCTGAATTCTCTTATTAACTCTAGTAGCTTTTGCATGGAGCCTTTAGGGTTTTCTTTTCTTTTTTTTTTTAACATTTTTTATTGATTTATAATCATTTTACAATGTTGTGTCAAATCCCAGTGTTCAGCACAATTTTTCAGTCATTCATGGACATATACACACTCACTGTCACTAGGGTTTTCTATATATAGTATCATGTCATCTGCATATAATGACAATTTTATCTCTTTTCTTCCAATTTGGATCCCTTTTAATTTCTTTTTCTTATCTGATTGCTATGAATAGGACTTCTCATACTATGATGAATAGAAGTGGTGAGAGTGGGCATTCTTGTCTTGTTCCAGATTTTAGTGGGAAGGCTTTCAACTTTTCACCATTGAGTATTATGTTGGCTGTGGGTTTGTCATAAATAGCATTTATTATGTTGAGATATATTCCTTCTATACCCACCTTGGTAAGAGTTTTTATCATAAATAGCTGTTGAATTTGGCAGATTCTTATGATTCTCAAGAATTATTCAAATATCTGTTTTCATAATAAGAGAATCATGAACAATATATTTGGAGAGCAGCAAGGCTTCTAGACTTTATAGTAATTGCCTCTATTAAAATTTTTTTACTGCTAATCTAATAATTAGATTATATCAAGATATAAGTCAGTGAGGATGATTTTTTTGTTACAGGGTGGTTTGTTTGTGTCTTTCTGCACGTGTATCAGGTATATGAGTGGAAAGGCCTTGGTGAAGCACTTACACATACACAAAGATATCATGATTATCTTTGGATGTATACAATAACACATTTATGGATCAAGGGGAAGGATCCTGTAGAGTAGGATAGTCTGAAAAGCAAAGAGATACTGATTTTATGAAACTAGACCAGTGGGAGTTGAAAAAAGGTAGGAGGAGGATGAGGGAAGAGAATGGGGTTTGACTCCAGGGGAAAGGTGCTGGGAGGGAACATGGGCCCGACCTTGACATTCTGATGTCTCTTAGGGGTTGGAGGCAGAAGTATAGAAAAAAGAACAATCTTTTCTCCCAGAATCACTGAGATTGAGAGGAATGTTGAAGGGACTGATTATGGATAATGAGACACCATGAAAATGTATGCTCATTCATTCACTCATTCATTTATCCATCTGTAGTCTATTCATAGAACCACCCAGTTAATAAGAAAACAATTATCTGCCCTTATATCTGAAATAATAAATAGAGAAATGAAAGTAAAAGTAATACATTCTGTTTTTTGTTTTAGTTTCCATGACTACTGTAGGGAATATCAGGATATTTTCTAGGCTCACACTCTAATGTTCTGTTAGCCTGCAAATATAGGAAACTAGAAGAAAATAGGTAGTAGCTAAGTGGGATGATTTATACATTGATAGTAATACATATTTCTATAGGCCACATATATATATTTTTTAACAGGCCAAGTTATATATAGGAGATATGTGTTTCTGACTGTTTATCTTTGTGAACCTTCAGTAAATACTTCCTTGGTGATTATTGACTGTGAACAAGTTAATACAAATTTGTGGGCTTAGTGATTTGGGTAATAGTCTTCATGGCTGATGTGTTACTTTGAGTATGTTATGAAATGCCACATATGCTCATTTGATAGATAATGTAATGTATTCTTATGCAAAAATCTCACTAAATTGATTTTTAAGATTAATGTTAATACCTTAAAGAATGGCTTGCAATGTTTTTCTTATTTTGTCTAGCACAAATATCAATGCCTTTTTATATTCTTTCCTCATTTTATAATAGCTATGGCAATTTATATTAGTTTCTTTTCTGTACAGAAAGATTGTTTTCATCTTTCTTCTCCAGTCAAAACCCTCAAAAAAATAATTCCCCAGATGAATAGAAATGAAGCACATGTCTTCCAAAGCCCTACCTGACTCCTCATCTGAGTTGTCATTAATAAGAATAGGCAAAATACAGACTCTGGTTGCCTCAGTGCTTTGTCTTATGAAAGTCAAAGGACTTGGTTGCTTAAGATACTTCTCACCAACTTGCCTTTCTTTTTCACTTAATACTCCTGATCAAAATGCAAACTCACCTTGATTGGGTTATTATTTTAGTCATGAACATAGTAGCATAGATTAATTTCAGAGGACCTAAGCCCAGAAGCATGACCTCAGAGAACAGTTGGGGAATATCTTGTTTTTCTGTTGGTGGACTTGGCATCCTGGTTCTCTGAGGGCTATAGCTGATAGCAGGAAGTGGTGCTGAATACTAATCTCATGTACTCTGTGATTTTCACTGGTGCTTTCCTTTAGAAAGTATTTTTCTTTGTTAATAAATATCTTTTTGTTTTTGTGCACAGGCAGCATGTCAGCTGAAACACCAATCACACTGAATATCAGTGCTCAAGATCTGCAGGTCCAAACATTTACAGTAGAGAAGCTACTGGAGCCTCTCATAATCCAGGTATTAATAATTATGGAAATTGCAATGTGCAGTAACTGAAGAAGAATTAAAGAACATAGGAAAAATAGATAATGAACCAAGGAAAGATTTGATATTTATTGAATGACTATGTCATCTAAAATTATCTTTTAAAGTGTTGTTAAAGTGTTAAGAAAGTGTGTACTTAGTAATAGTAGTGATAAAATTCTGAAAGTTCCTCCCCAGATTCTGTTTTAAAAGCAACAGAAGTAATAATATGCATATGCAGTTTTCAAAGTAACTTTATTTAAATTATCTTGTTTGATAGTCATGAAAACTGAATGAGGCAGTCAGCATAGTCGAAACCATCCTTATTATATAGATGAGGAAACAGCCTAGAGAATTTCAGTGACTTGCTCCAAAGCACATGATGGCTCATTTGTCAAACAGTAAATTACTTTAAAAATACCAAAATGTATGAGAAAAGCAAAAGATATTTAAGGAGTTCTGTGATGAAGTCTTTCATATTGTGAACATTTCTTTGTTTATATGTATAATGATTCTCTGACTTACTAAGTAAGTCCAGATTTTATTTATTGAATTTTCTTAGAGCAGAGCTTTAAAAAACTTATACTATAGTATAGATTTAAATTTTTTTAACCCAAAATTTGTGAGGAAACACCTCTTTAGGCCTACCTTACATCATATCTCCTAAAACAATTTATCCCTATTTATAAGGCCTTGAAGCACTCAAGGGTTTCTTAAGTGAGAAGCTATACTGACCTTACTTCTGATCATTTAAAAATCTTCTGCTTGTCTTCTTTGTGAGGTGGACGGTGGAGAGGGGAGTAGCTCTGAGAATAGGCTTTGTACACATTTTTACTTGGCACAGTCAATATGGACTACTGGAAAGAATTTAAAACATGTGCCTCACTGAGATAGTTTAATCATGAACTTTGGCAGTCTTAAAGGCATTAATATCTGGTATGAAATTGATACTAGATGACTATGGAGACTCCATTGAGGTCCCTATCTTAGCCACCCATAGAATGGTCTCATGAAAAAAAGTGTACATTGTTTTCCTAATAAGTTTCACTGAAAAAACTGGAAAAACAAAATAAAAACAAAACTCAGAAAATAAAAAAGCACTCACGGTTTTACCACTAAGAGGTAAATATTAGTGTTTTGATGCATTTACTTCCAGTAAATGTAAAATTATGGGTGATTTTTATTATCTTCTTAGTACTTCATAATATAAAAAAAAGTATCTTAAATATATAAAAGATACATGTGAACAAGGTGGAGATAGTACTGTATATGTAGATTTTATCTTAGCCTTCCATTTAAAATGGTGTTTTAATAATTTCCTCATTCTTTGTAAGTATGGTTTAATAAAAATGCTGTTTAATTATCTATCATATGGCTGAACAATAGTTTTTTAAAGTAGCCTTTCATTTTTGGGCATGTAGGTTGTTTCTGTTTTTTACTGTTATAAATAATTCTGTGCTGAAAATCTTCATACATGAATTTTTGTCATCAGTTCAAATTATTTCCCTAGGATTAGTTACTAAATGTAAAAGTGGCCAAGGTATGAGAATCCTTATGTTTTTTCATATAAATCACCAAGTTTTTTTGAGAAAGTTTTAAATGAGTTCTCATAAATCATTTCAGATTTTATTCCAATGCAATTTACTTGGGGTGGGGTGGGGAAATGGCCTTCATTTTGGAGATAGCTGGTGAAGGCAGATACATTAATGCCACTGCATAACCCTTATTTTCCCTATAACAATGAAACATTTGAGTTGGTCACCTAAGACTTGCTAATCATAAAGGCTGCTGATATATTGCTTATGAACAGAGAAAGTATCATTATGGAGAAACTTTTTTATATTCTAGCTGAAACCAACAGATGTTTTGCTTTAGTCAAATACGCTATTAGAGCAGTCAATAGAGAGAATTCTAGGTAAATTCACATTAGGAGTATGCTGTTCACAATTTGTGTGTTTTTTCTGTTTTCATGTTTAAAAACTATTTAATCTATAAACATTTATTGAGTCCACCTAGAAAATTAAAAAGGGTGAAAATGACCTGAAGAATTTGATTTGATTGGAAGACGTTTAACTCTTTTAAAAATTGCGATTATGCTAATTTTAGAGGGCTTTTAATGTGATGCCTAGATTCAAACTTTTCATGATCTGCAAGTAGATGAGTCAAGGGAAGGGAAATTAGTACTTAAATGCCAGATAGTTCCCAGTTACACGTAAGTGTAATTGCTAATTTTATCTTCAAAGCAGTTTGGTATACCATTTCACCAATATCTCAGGAAAAAAAACTTCTAGATCTTAGCAATTTTCAAGTTAAAGTAAATTAAAAATATTAATAATTTATAGAATATTTACTATGTTCATATGTTCAGGAACTATATCATAAAGGAGAATTCTAGTACAACTGAGTTATTTGGATACACTCTTAATTTTCATTATAATGATAGTCTCCTTAAAAAAACTAGTGCATTTCACAGTCAAAGAATCATTAATTTAAAATAACTGACCTTTTTGGATTTGATGCACAATCTTTTTGTATCTGTCACTTTGATGATGTATTACCTATCAATACAAATTAAAAAAATCCCATTAAATTATATTAAAGATTTTTCTTTTAGAGTAGTATCAGACTAAATATCTCATAACATTCCTTTTTTTTTCAAAGAGTGTTTAATTTGAAATAGTTACATGGTTTATATTAAGTATATAATATAATCTTTGATTATAATGGAAGACATTCCAAAAGAAGTTAATGATTATTAAGTTCATAATACCATCAGATAGTTATCAATTTAGTAACCCCATGAAAAACTTCTCACCTTTCTTCATTATTTATCTTCATGCTATATTCCTTTGCTTTAAAGTTTCCACAGAAATTATTTACCATCTCTGTATATAACTCAAAGTCAAAATTACATTTTAATTTTTGGAGTAATTGGTCATAGATACTATTATGTCACTCTGACTTCTAAATTCATTTATTCATAAATCTTTATTCTGCTCTTTTTATAGTTACTAGAGTCTTCCCCACCAAACTTGATTTATCTTTAATCTATTTTTTTCTCTTGGGCATAGGTAAATCACTAGGCCATTTTGCAGGAAGTTCAGCCTGGGATATATTTCAATCATTCACTTTCATTTGCTCTGTGAGATAACTTACACAGTTAAATCCTTCTGTAATAAATTCCTCCAATGGATCAGAAATAATTTTTTCTCAGCAATTACATTTTTATGATTGCAACTGTAGGCATCTGCACTTTATCACTTTCAAGATCCAAGTTTGGCAATGCAGTGCAGAAAATCTATTTATGCAGAATTGCGATTAAAGAATTTACATCTCTATGTTGTATACTCTCTGAAGGAGATATAAACTGCTAAATCATGCTCCAGCATAACATAACGGAACTGTCTATAATGTTATTTGCCACAAAATATAATTTGCCCTGTGTCAGATTCATGTTGAATGTGAGCTAGAAGAATTGACTTAAAATCTTTTAAGATAAATGCAATAACAAGCTCCTTATAACATATTATCTCCCATAAAGATAGAAGATCTTTTTGGAGGGCAAAGGTTCAAATATATTTTCTGATGTAAATATATCCCATGTTTTCAAGAGGCAAATATAGAGTTAGAGCAATAGTAATAAACATTATTCCTCTGGCTCTCACCTCTAACTCTTATAGGACCTCTTAGCCTTTTTGCAGTTTCCACTTCAATAGTGTCTCACATCTATTTCTGGGAGTCCCTTAGGGATGGCTTTTATATACTCTATAATACTCATTAGGTCAAGTTTAAGAATATCTGCTCAACTTTTTATCAGTCAGCATAAAGCTAGTGATAAGAGTTGGGGGTTGCTGTGATACGACAACCCGCAAATCTCTTAGGCTTAGGAAAAGTTTATTTTCTGCTCAAGCTACATGTTTAATGTGACTTAGTTGTGGGGGTCTCTGCTTAATACAGGCACTCAGGGACCCAGGCTAATGGGGGAGTCCATCTCAACATTTATTTCCACTATTGTTACAACAGGGGAAAGAGAACATGATGAATCACGAGGGGCTTCTAAAATGTCCAGCTTTTTGTGACATATGTCACTCACATTGCTTTTGTCAAAGAAAGTCATATGGTCAGTGGGGATGCCAGATGTGTGATCTTGCCCTGTGCTCAGAAGACTAGGAATGTTTGTGAACAGCCCTAATTACTATTATCTTTCTGTTGCCTCCTTTTTAGGGGTTCCTTTTTTGTTAAGTCTGCATCTGCTGACTGGTCATCTATCCACCCAGATCACAGCTGACTTTATCAGGTTAGGCAACTGACTTACTGACAATTACAGGTTGGCAAGAAGCCTGTAAGGCAATCTGGCTCTGGCAGACCTGCCTCAGGGGATGATGGTGAATTGGTCCTATCACCACCATCTCCTTGGGGAATTGACTTTGGGGAGAGTTAAGCAGTGAGTACCTAGCATTAAACAGTTATATCAAGTGCAAAGCTGAAAGACACATGGAAAGGAGTAAAGACAGAGAAGAGTTCTGTTGGAGCAGTTTTCAAGTTTCTATCCACAAACTCCTGCTCTTGTGGGACAAGAAGATTATTGAGTTACCAGGGTTTTAATGGGTCCTTCCAATTTCCAAACCACATTCCAATCTGAGAATTACACTCAAGTCTCTGTGGGGCCTCATTGTTTCCAGTTCCCTTGATCATGGACTATGTAGGCCAGATGCTTGTCTTCCTCATGTCATCTGATTCCCTGGCCTATTACCTCCTCATCAGTGGTTGAAATTTCAGAAGAAGTTCCATTAGTAGCAGCAATCCAGGGTCCTTGTAATTGCCCTCACTTGATTATGGTAGCGTGGAGATTTTCCTGCAAAACTTTTCTTCTGCTCTTCCCTTTATCTCCAAACTTTGGAGCCTCTCACTGTGACTTGCCAATGCTCCATGGTCTATCCACCATGTTTTTCCATTTTTCCTGGTTTTATCTTATTGATGGTGGATGGTAACTG